CCCAGCCAGCATGGTTTGCTGGGGAATTCTGGGAGTTGAAGTCCACACGTCTTCAAGTTGCCAAGGTTGAGAAACACTGCGCTAATCGAAGGGACGATACTATTCATTGTAATCTGAGATAAACAAGGAGGAAACAGTAACCCGTTGAAAGCAGTAGAGAATTTTACCCCTTCTTTGCAAATTCCTCTCTGCCAAAGACTCTGCATTTCCATTTAGGATTACAGTGTTTTTCTCCTGCTAAGCAGCTGAGAATGCATGCGAAGCTGCCTTCCACTGGCGGATAAGAATAAATGGTTGAAAATGAAGGAACGAGCAAAAATGCCCGAAGCCACAGGCTTTTCTTACATTCTTACCGCTTACATTACATTCTTACGGCTAAGAATGGGTGCCTTTAAAGGCTACCTGCCAGGGGTCTCGGGGGAAGGGGGTCACAGAAGTCAAGATGGCAGTCACAGCCATGCGATTAAAGCCTCACCCTTTTTTTAACCCTTTTTTTTAACATGCATTTTATGTGCAATAGTCTGTGAGAATAACCTTGGGAGACAGGAGGAGGAGGAGCCGCAGCCTAGACAGTGGTTAGACAGCCTAGACAGACCCTCCCTAGTACTTTGGAAAGTAAAGGCAAGGGAGGGGAGAAGTGCCTTCAGACTTGCAAGATTTTGTTATTGTAGCCCAGTGTTTCTCAACCTTGGCCCTTTTAAGAGGTGTGGACCAACTCCCAGAATTCTGGCTGGGGAATTCTGGAAGTTGAAGTCCACACATCTTAAAGTTGTCAAGGTTGAGAAACACTGGCCCGTTCCTTGATTTAAAGGGGAATTATTGCTGTTCCCCTCCAAAGATTACCAGGGAATGCAAGAGAACATCAGTGACATGCAATAGCCAGAAAGGAGAAAGAGAAGGGGAAAGGGGAAGAAGGAGGAGGAGGAGGAGAAGTAATAATGGAGCCAACCAAGTCTCTCTCTCTCTTTCTCTCTCCAGGGATGAACACCGGCGCAATAGGGCCTGGAATCAGCCTGACAGCTCTGAACCACTGTTCCCCAAACCCATGCTTCCCAGGGGTCACTTGCACCAGCACCCCGAGCGGCTTCCACTGTGGGTCCTGCCCCTTGGGTTACACAGGCAATGGAACTCACTGCACCGACATTAATGAGGTCAGCTGCTCCAAAGGGCGACTCGCTGCCAGAGTCCTCCCAAAGAAAGGGCTGAGGAGGGTGGGTGGACGTGGGATGGGGGCTCCTGCCCTTGGTTTGCTCTTTTGCAGAGTCAGGCTCCAGGGGCCTTTCTCGGATTCAAGCCAGCAAAATCCCTGGGAGAAAAACAGACATTTTCCAACTGTCCCCTGGAATGAAATCCTTTCTGCCCCTAAAGTGCAGTCTTAGAATCTCAGAAGATCCTGGGACGTGTTTGAAGCTGTCTGGCTTCCGAGGGGAGGGGGCTTATTTTTCCTTGCATGGATCTAGAATAAGTTCTAGAGTGGAGGCGGCCCCTTTTTGTAGTCCTGAGAGCTCCTGAAGGTTGGGGGGACACAGGCTGTGGAGGGCTGGGGGATGATGCTCTGTGAGGGGAGACCCTTGTGGAAATGAGGGTGGGTAGAATTTTCTGAGTTTTTCTTCTTTGGGTAGGATCTCTCCTTCCCTTTTAACTATGCCAAGTTAGGCTTGAGGTCAGGGCTTTCCTCCTTAAAATGGTGGCGCATGAAAAAAATGTCTTGAGGACTGCAGGCTTAGGATTATAACCAATATTTTCTAGAGCTGTTGGTCCTGGGGGTGGTGTTTAAGGGTGGTGGAGCCAGGAGGGTGGGGTGGAGGTCAAAACACTCAAGATGGAGGCCATGACCACATAACTGAACCTTCAAACAAATGGTCAGGACCACCATCTTGACTTTTTTAACCATCCCTGTGGAGTCCCCTGAGTGTAGCAGAAGGAAGAAGCAGAAGGCTTCATATCCCTTCAAAGACACGAAGAGCTTTCAAGGGCCAGTGTTCCTATTCTCATATTGCAGGCTGGCATGGGATGGGATGAGGTAGATCTTCTTGTCCCAGTTTTCTGCTGGTTTCCCAGTCCTGAAAGCAGAGTCCCACCAGAAAGTAGGACCCTTTCCCCAGCAGGAATGACACTGCTTCCATTCTTGACCACCCTTCTCCAAGCTGGGGTCCTCCAGATATGTTGGACCCTCTTCCCAAATCCATGGCCAGCCCGCTGTTTTTAGAAGTGTGCGTGTCTGAAGGACACCAGCTTGCAGAAGGCTTTTCTTGCAAGCATGACAATGTCCTGCCCTCACCTTAGTGCTGTTCCATGATCTCCAGAGAATCAAGCTCTGGAAAACGTGGAGATGGTTGGGTTCACAGCCAATAGAGCCCCACCCCTTTGCGGACCAAGGAGATTCAAGTTGGATTCAAGCTGCTATGTAGCTGTTTCATGTTACTGAGGTCCAAGGTCCTGATGGAGGCCCTCTGCCCATCTCAGAAATGCCCTTTCCCAACAGGGTGCCTGGATGGGTGGGCCGCAAAGGCACAGATGTCCTCTCAGTCCCCAATGAGCACAACTTCTCTTTGCAGTGCACAGCCAACCCGTGCTTCCCCAGAGTCCGCTGCATCAACACGGCCCCTGGTTTCTACTGTGAGTCATGCCCACCTGGCTATAGAGGACCGGCGCTGGAAGGAGTCGGTTTAGCATTTGCCAGGACCCACAAGCAGGTAACTCCGAGAAGGATCTTCTTCTCTGAGAGGAATTTATTAGCATTGGCAGCACAGATACTGAAATTGGAACAATACAGAGAAGATTAGCATGGTCCCTGTGCAAGGATGGCATGCAAATTCATGAAGCGCTCCATGTTTTTCTCCTAGAGTAATTGAGAGTTGGGCAGCATACAAGTTTTATTATTATTATATATACAACAACGTGAAACCACAACTGCCAGTTCTTTAGCTGATGTTGGCCGTCATTCACATCAAGTTCTTCCCAAGAACCTAAGACAGTGCTTCTCAGCCTTGGCAACTTTAAGACGCGTGGACTTCGACTCCCAGAATTCCCCAGCCAGCCACGCGTCTTAAAGTTGCCAAGGCTGAGAAGCACTGACCTAGGATGTTGTAATGTATTGGCTTAGTATATGTACAGATCCAAGCAGATGGAAATGTTGTCAATGCACAGATTTTCTAAGTGCCGTCTGAGATTTTTTGGTATCGCACCCCATGTGCCGATAACCACTGGGACCGCCACAGCTGGTTTTATGTCATAATCTTTCAACTTCGATTTTGAGACTTTGATACTCTGTGATCTTCTCCAATTCTTTTTCTTCTATTCTACTATCCCCTGGTATTGCCACATCAGTTATCCACACTTTCTTCTTTCAACCACAGTTAAATCTGGTATGTTATGCGATGATGATGATGATGATGATGATGATGATGATGATGATAACAACAACAGCAGCAGCAGCAGCAGCAGCAGCTTTTGCAGAGGGGAGAATGGGTGGAACCCTATTCAGATTTTTTTTTTTTGCAAAATAAATGAACAAAGCAACCATTTTCAGTCTGGATGGTGACTGGGGAATTAAATTGGTGAATGCATTTTCACGTGCTCTTCAGGAACTTGGGAAATCCAGAGCTGCCTTTATGGGGGAAAAAAGATAATTTTATCCAACTGGAAGGCCGAACTGGAATTTTATCCAGATGTGATATGACTCCCTGGGGACTGCCATCTAGCCTGACTTGGCACCAAATGGGCACATTCACATGTAAACATAGGAAAAATAAATGAGGGCCATGGTTGGGCATGACTGGAGGTTCATCTATCCCAGGATCTCCAGGGTTTTTGAATGGAGAATGCTCTCTGCTGTTGTTTTATTTTATTTATTGTTTAAATTTTAAGCCACCGAATTGCCGAAGCTGGGGAGGAGGGCAGTTTACAATAATACAGGCTACGAAATGCAATCCATGTTAAAGCCTACAGAATAAACTGAAGTAAAGTACAAAATAAGGACAGCACACAAACTAGGCAGCAGCAAGGCGGTGTTCAAAATCGAAAAGAATAGGGATTAAAGTACGATTAAGACACAGTTCAAATACAATTAAAATTAAAAAGCTTGGGACAATGGAAAGATTCAGCTGGCACCGAAATAATGCTAATGGGGGCACTGGTTGGGCTGCCCTTCTGTAAACAGGGTGCCTTTGCTGAGAAAGCTTGTAGAGAGAGGGTAGCGTCATTTCATCCACGGTGTCCCCATCACTTCCTCCTGACCTCTGTGTGTTTCCTTTGCCAAACAGGTCTGTAATGACGTTAACGAATGTGAGGAAGGGACCGCCAGAGTCTGCGTGCCAAATTCCATCTGCATTAACACCCCGGTAATTCTTCTTCGCCAGCCAGTCTCATACCTCCTCAAAGCTGGGCTTTGTTACCAATGGAGTGGGAAACAACTGGAGCAACCTTCTCCAACCTGGTGCCTCCCAGATGTCTCAGAGTATCATTCCTATCCCCCAGCAATTTGATCTTGCTGGGTTGCTTAGCTTGTCAAGATTGGCCACGGTCAGTTAAGTGCCGTCAGCTTCAGGCAACTATTCTGACTCACACTGCTTCCATCCCACTGATGCTTCAAAGGCTTGGCTCTAGCCAGCAATGCTGGCCTAAAAATCCTCATGCGTCTGTATTTGGACAAGCATCAGAACGCATGTCCCATTGAAAGCCATGGATGGCATCCAGTTGGACACGCATCCACTGAAAACCGGGGGAAGAATCTGGGTTTGGGAGGCCCATTAGAGCGTGTGCTCCAATGGAACCAGTGAGCGATGTCACACTGGAAGGCCTTGCGCTGAAAGCAAAGGGAAGCATGATATCTGTTGCGTATTGGGGTGGGATTCTATGAATCTCAGGGCATGACAACCCCACTGGGGTGCTGTAATGAAAATCAGAAAAAAGGATTTTTGGGGTCCTTGATGTTCTCTGAGTGGGGTTATTTTCCTACAGATGTTTCATTACCAGGCTAGGTAACATCACCAGGGTGAGGGAGAGTGGGATTTGTTCCCTGTTTATCTACAGTAGCTTGCCCTGCCAGTGTTGGTGGGTGGGTGTTCCTTCTTCATTAGTTTCTTGAATTAGGATATTATTTCTTCCCTGATTATTTATCTGGTGCTGCTTCCTGCTTCTCTGAATGCTGGATGTTGGGGAAGATGTGCCCTGGGCTGTCTGTGTCCTTCCTTGACTTTTGGTTATGTCTTTTAAATGGTCTGTGGGTGGGATTATCATTATGTGTCTGTTGATGGCTGATTTGTCAGAATGCCAAAAGATTCTTCAGTGGATACACGGCATTTCCTACTGAAGGCAATGGGTGCTGTACAGACTTAGCTAGCAGGAGTCACTCCATCATCTGAGACAGCAGATGGAATAGTGTGAAGGGGAAGGAAGGACTCACGGGAGTAATGGAACTGGTTTCGCACATCTGCTGGGGAGGGAAGGGGATGCAAATCCAGCTGGTTGACTACCACATTTCCTTCTGGCAGGGCTCCTACAAATGTGGGGCATGCAAGAGCGGCTTTGTAGGGGACCAGACTTCTGGCTGCCGGGCCAAGACCAAGCGACGTTGCCCCAACGGTGAACTGAGTCCTTGTCATGAGAAAGCAGAGTGCATTGTCGAGCGTGATGGGACCCTCCTCTGCAAGGTGAGTTGGAGGCTTTCCTTGGCTCTTCACCTACTTCCCAAACAGTTCCAAGATTTGGGAAACTGATGCTGCAGTTTCTCTGTTTCGAATGGTGGTGAAATTTGGGTTTGTTGAACTGCTCAGAACCTGTTTTAGGTTCAACACTGGGTTACACTCAGTTTCACAGGACAGGGTGCCTTTGGGTGCAGAAGCTGTCCAATTCCAGGGAGATTCCATCTTTAGTCCTGGACAGGACTGTCTCTCCCGTATGGAATTAATTTGTAATCTGGATTCATCACTCCTGCTGGAGGGACAGGTGGCAGCCGTGGCTAAGAGGGCCTTTGAACAGCTTCATCTGCTAGGCAAGTTATGACCCTTCCTGGTTTAGGAAGACCTTTTCACAGTCACCCATTCCTACTACTGCAATGCACTTACTTGGGGCTGCCCTTGAAGACTCTTTGGAAGATCCAGCTGGTCCAAAATGCAACAGCTCAAGCAGAGATGGACGCTTCCTGGCTTGCACAAATATCACACTACTTCAAGAGCTGCACTGGCTACTAGCCAATGAGATCTGGAAGAATGAACTCCCTCCATATCTCTTCTCCAGGGAATGTTATCAGCAAGGAGTAGAGTCAGGCCTTCTCAGTTGCCGTTGCCTTTCTTTGGGGAACAGCATTTTCCCAGAAATTTGAATGGCCCCAACTACTGGAATTCAGAAACAGTACAAAAAGCCTGGCTGTTCCTGCACTCTTGGGGTGGGGATGGTGTTTCCTTTCATAGTAGGGTGTCTGCTGGATTTAAAGTGATTTCTGTTACTTGGTGTATAATCTTAGTACTGTATTGGTGCTGTTCTACTTTCAGTTTCTCATCTATGATCGTAATGATTCTACTGTTTTAACCTGGTTTACAACTGAAGTGCTATAGCATATCGGCCTAGGATATAAGAAAACCAACAAATAAAAAAAGAGGGTTTCTTTGAAATTACTCTCCGTTGCTTCAGATCAAATCAAACCTTTATCACGGCCTATGGGCCAGAAACACAACAGTAAAATACATAGACCTGTAATTATTAATAACACTTTAAAAATGCATTAAAATTACATCAAATACATTATTATAGTAACTGTGGTACACATAGCAGTGGCAATCACCAAAATTTGTGCTAAACTCCGTTGCTTCATCGCCAGGCAGAGTATAGCCTTGAATAATGTTTACTGGAGGGGGGAAGACCTGGGGAGTAATTTTTGTTATGAAAACAGGAATGTTAAAGCTGCTAGCAAAGGAAGAACAAGCTGTTGATCAAGGGATGTTGCAAGGGGACATGCAAGTTCCTGGTCTCTTTTAGAGGTAGATGCTAATCCAGGTCTTGACTGAGTCATTGTCCCACGTGGTGGTGGTGGTGATGATGATTTAAATTTATATGCTGCCCAACTCCCAGCGATTTTGGGTGGTTCAGAAGTAGGATTTGGTTCCTCTTCCCTGGCAGGCGTGTCCTATGCCTGGGTCTGCCCCGATTCAGAGCTGGGGTCCTTGTTTTCCTTGGGAGACGGTGGCAGACATGGGCATTCATGATTCCCTCTGCTTCTAGTGCATCGTTGGGTGGGCAGGAAATGGCTACATTTGTGGAAGAGACACCGACATTGATGGATTTCCTGATGAGAATCTTAGTTGCACTGATGAAAAATGTCGCAAGGTAAGAGACTTCCTCCGAGTTAGGGGTTCCTCAGCCCACAGCCTTTGGGCCAATTCTGATTTCATCTGTTCCTCTGGCTGCAGTGGGGATCAGGGAAGCCGCCCCCAAGGCAGGGGAGGAAGAGGGAGGGAGGGAAGTTTGGGGAGCTCATATTTCATTGGAGTGATGTTCATTATTTTGGGGAAGAGGAGAAAAATCACAGAACAACTGATATTATGGAGAGAGACACGGGCATACGAGCATCACCTTAGAATTTGTTCTGTATTCACTCCCAATCCAACCCCTTTCTCAGTCAATGTTTTGTTACAGAATGCATTAACCCTGCTAGAACTCTTTCTAGATGAAAATTTATCCTAGAGATTGTTAAGGAAAATATTGAAAATCACATTTTTAAAATGCTTGTATTATTATTATTATTATGGAAGCCCAAGTCTTTAATCTCAGAAGCATCTGGTTGGTTGATCTTGGAATTCATAGATTTTAGACCTTGATGGTCATAGCACACTCAGAAAT